TATACACTCTTGCAGTATGGGCTTGAAATCTTCAATCAAATCCAATCTTCTAATTTTAAATTAGATTCAAGATCTTCTACGAAAATAGGAACTAATCTTCAAAGTTTCCTAAAAAGTCTCAATGGTACTTTTTATGAAACCAAATCAAATATGCATTGTTCCTAATAAAATTTTCTTGACCTGCGAAAATAAGTGAGATATATCCAAGAGGATCTCACAAAATCAAATCAAATATTTCAATAAAAATAACAGCAACACCTGCTGTATGATTGGCTAAGATGTCAAGATATTTGGCTCAACATCTGTCTGATATTCATGACAACATAATCTGTCATGACAGTTAGTAAAGATGTCATCATATCTTGCTCAACATCATCTATAAATCATGTTTTAGTAAAATTTATGCCAATCATAAAACTATGGATCTAACACACACACATACACACATAAAATTTATAGAAAAAATTTAAACCTATTTATAAATTACAAATATATATATATATATATATATATATATATATATATATATATATATATATATATATATATATATATATATATATATATATATATATATATATATATATATATATATATATATATATATATATATATATATATATATATATATATATATATATATATATATATATATATATATATATATATATATATATATATAAGAGAAAAAATAAATCCACAATTCAATATATATATGTTTTTTTTAAAAACAAAAAATAAAATATCTTAATTGAAGAAATTTCTTAGATAAAATCTTTGAACACCTTCTTAACCTTAGATTTGATTTACTTCTTGATTACTTCATCAACAATAAAAGAAGAGAAAGGTTTAGATTTTTGAGAGGAGGAAGATAAATGGTGTGGGAGAGGGGGAAATAAGAGAAGAGGTGGAAATAATTATGGATTAATGGAGCAAAACAAATCTGGAAAATACATAGAAAATTTATCATCGTGAATTTCATGACACAAAATTTTGTTCGTCAGATTTACCGATGTGAATTTTACAACACAAAATTCTGAGTGTTAGTCAGATTTTATTTTCCAATATACTTTTAAGTAGCGACATGAATTCCATGACACTACTAAAATTTCAAAAAGTTCATGAAAAGCTGAAATCTTTTTTAAATGTTTTTAATTTTAATGTAGCGACATGATTTTCACCTCACTACCAATTTTTCTAAAATTTTCCTCTTGCCCCACGTGTAAAGCTAAATTTCATTTTTTTAATTATTTTAAAACATTTGCATCGTGATATTCACGAGGAAACTTCCGTTTATTCCATCGTAATATTCACATGACTAAAACATGTGGCTGGAGCATCGTTCTCTTATAGTGTAATATGTATAAAAAAATGTGATCCCCGACCTAACTTTTCAGTTACATAATTATAACATTGGTTTCTCCATGAGGGAGACCGATTTCATTTCTTATTCTTTTGGTCATTTATAGTCAAGCCTTGACCAAGTAGTCAGAGTAGTGGATGATTTGTCCCATTAATATAAGAGACGTGATTAGTTAGTCAACTTTGACCAATAAAATCCTCTCACTTATTAGAACATGCTAGGAAAGTCTCCTATTATAAAGTCGGGGGCGTGGATGACTCGCCCCATTTCTAACATGTCACCAACCTTGCGCCGCCTATTTTTAGTAATCTTAGTCCCACTTGGGAGATGTTGGGCTAAATGGTCGAATTCGTTGACACTTGTTGGGATTGAGTTATAAAATAATGGTCCAAGACATATTTGTGTTCATCTAACAATTTCAACCAATGTTGTATTTTAGTTCTTGAACCTATGAAGCCCAGACTCAAACACAAACAAAGGGACATAACACGGACACAGACATGAAGGCACTGCTAATTAAAAAATATAAGACACGAACACGGCTATGTATATTATATATATTAATAAAATAATTTAATTTGTGAGCACAATTTATGAAGACTCTAAAATGAGAACTAAAATTAATATTTATTAAAACTTAGTACTTTCAATCATAAAAAAAAGAAGACTTAAATTGTGTACTTTCACCTAATAAAAATGATCTAAAACAATATGATACAAATCATATCATATTCACTCAACATTGAGAAGAAAAAAATCTTTAAATCTGACTTATCCAAAGACAAGTTATATGTTATATGTAATTAACATATAACTTGAACGAAACAAAGACAAATACCATATAATATATCTAATTAACATATAACATTTCTTTAATTAACATGAAACATAAAAAAACATAGACAATTTACAAATAATAACACGAGTGAAGCATCGTCGCCGACATATATAATTAACAATAGAAAACATAAACATAGACAAGTAATAAAGAAAGAAAAGGAATGAGCATCGAAAGAGAAATAGTGGAATATCGGCGGTGGCGATGATGGAATACCGGTGTACGGTGAAGATGAAAACAAACATAGAAGATGAAAACAAAAAGAGAAGATGAAAAAACAAGGAATACGAGTTGTTTTTATAGTAGGAAAGTGGAATATGAAAGGTAAAAAACATTTATTTCTTTTTTAGTTTTGAGAATTTGAGAGGTTGGCGTGTCCGTTATTTGAAATAATGTGTTGTATTTGTGTCCACTATGTTTAAATTTATTTTTTTCTTAGGACACTCCAAAAATGTGTTTGATACGTGTCGTACATGCATTACAACAAATAACGCTTTTCACGACGAAACTTTCACCTCACCCAAAGAAAAATCGAGGTATAATGCCAAGACGCGTCATCTTTATTTATTTATAAAATTAAAAACTAACTATTCCATCAGTTTTTAAAATAAACCAGGAGAAAAAATAAATCAGGACACGCTTCGAATCTCAGCCATTGCAGTTTATGCTTTTATTTTTTATAAGTGTAAAGTAAGTGAACTAACCCTTCGATTTTTCAATATAACCGAGGGATCAAATAATCAGATTTCACTATAAAAGCATTCGTCAAACAGATTTTAACTTAATTCTTACTTATATTTTGCCGCCCCAAACTCGCACGCATTATTATTTATGATGGATTGCAAGACAAAAAAATCTTCAATGTTCTTCTATATCTAGAACAAAACATTTTTTCTGTCCTTGCAATCTATCTAAATTAATAGTGTTGTTGTTGTTGTTGTTGTATTTTTGCTCATTTGATAAATTACAAGTGTAGAAAATCATTTTTGCTTCAAGTTAATAAAGAAGGGAGCTCAACTTTTGAAAAGTTAAACAAAGAAGGAAGCGTAACTTTTCAGAAAATGGATATCAGCGAAAAATAAATATTCTCATGGGAAAACAGATCTCTAACATCTTGCATGAGACCTGAACAATCTTGGGGAGAACTAAATCTTGATATCAGCAAATATTTGTTCCATACAATGTATTTTTAATAATATTGGTAACCTATGTATTTTGTAAGCAAATTAATGTATTAATATTCTAGGTAAACAATATAACGATTTTCGTTAAAAAAAATTAATCTTACCCCTCGATTTTCTTACAAAACCGAGAGGTAAGAGAAGCTAATATTTTTATAAAAAAACTTATTCACTTCAGTTTTTTGATGTAACCGAGGAGATAAAATTAAGCGTTTTTTTCTATATTCACCGGTCTTAAACAAATTTTAGTCGTCCATTTAATGGTTATTAACGTTCAAGACCCTGCCTTTAGTGATCCGTGTGAAACCTAAGGGATATCCATTATAAAAACATACTGAATATTGAAAATCTAACCTAAATGAAACATGATGTACTTGCAACCCTTATTTTTTTGTGAGCAGAAAATTTTCTATGATGGATTGCAAGAGCAGAAAATTATTTGGTTTAAGCTTTGTTTTCTGTAAATATCTTTGAGCAGAAAACCATTTATTTATTTAACCCTTATTTATCTTCTTTTTTTGTTTGTTTTATATCAGAGACAAAGGCAAGGAAAAACCATAGAAAATATTTTGCACTCAACATTTTCTCTTCCTTGTATCAAACATTTATTCGAAGATCTAAGATCTAGATCTTGAAGGAAATTAATTTTTAATGTAATAATATATATAAACAATGTAATATTAATGGTAAATAATATACTTTGTAAACAAATTAATGTATTAATATTTTAGATAAACAATGTAACGATTTAAAAAAATTAATCTTACCCCTCAGTTTTATTTAAACCGAGATATAAGATACGTTAATTTTGAAAATAAAAAAAATATATAATTGCTGAGATTCGAATCCATTTGTGTATAACTTTATCTCTCGGCTGTTATTCCACCAAGGTAATAAGTGGAGACTTATCATAACGTCATACGCTACTTGACTTCTTTAGTCGAGATAAAATGCATTTCGCATCTAAAATTTAATTTTTTTTATAGTAGTAATATGTCATACGCGTATCAGTGTCTAATATATATTTAATGCAGAAACACACCTTCTAATTGACATGTCAAAGCTTCATAGTCCTGAACCCTTTATAGACTTGTTGTTCATGTGTCGAATACTATAATACCTCTTTTCAAACTCAAGATAATATTTTTGGGAAGAACCATATAAATTTGCCATCTTAACAACAGTTTTTCACTCTTCAACATTTAAAAAATGACACAAGAATGATCTTTTAATTTGCAATCCAAGTCACAATTATGTACTCCAAAACCATACTAAGAGCCCAACCATTTGAAGAAAGTTAATACCCACGTAACCAAAATAAATATTCACATTTTCTTGTTCTTGTCAATGTATTTCAATTTTCTTTTTGTTTTTTTTATAATGACAATCTCTTTCACAATACAACACTGTAAAAGATAATTTTCCAGAGAAAAATACTTACATAAAAATAAATCTAAATCTGAATATTTAGAAAGATTCAATAAGAAAAGAGAAAATTTTAAATTTATGTAAAATTGAATTTATTTTTTAATTAGATTTATCTGGTGTTTATGATTATGATTGTGTGTCACAGAATATACAAACTTATCTTCTTTTGTTCACAGAAGCTTAAGCAGCTATGGCAGCCTTAAGCTGCCAGTTTCACTCCATCAACTACTTGAATTCTCAAAGGCTCAAAACCAGAAGCAAGCATTCCATAATTTCATGCTCATCTCAACCTATACAAAGCAATATAAAGGTACTAACTGAAAGAGCTTTTTAGAAGAAAAAAAATCAGTTTGAATGAGAAATTACAAAGTGATTTCAATTTTCAACACCCTTTGTGGAATAGGTTGTGATAAATGGAGCAGCCAAGGAAATAGGAAGAGCTGCAGTGTTAGCTGTTACAAAAGCTAGAGGAATGGAAGTTGCTGGAGCCATTGATACTCACTATGTTGGAGAAGATATTGGACAGGTTTCTGTTTAACAACTTATGATTATTATGACATGTCCATAAGCTGTTTTTAGCTTATTTTCTTTGAAATAGCTTATGATTATGAAAATAGTTTATAGCTCATATGAAATCAATATGTATATATTTTATCTTTTGTTATAGAAATAGCTTATACATAAGCACTTTTATGATGCTATAAATGCTTAACCAAGCTGTTTATATAAACGGGGCCAAATTTTGGACTTTCTTATAGGTTTGTGGAATGGAAGAGCCCCTTGAAATACCTATACTAAATGATCTTACTATGGTTTTGGGCTCTATATCTCAGGTAATGATTTGGAAATTTGGTATTGTTCATTTTTTTATCTGTGTTATAATCACTAGAAACTTACACAAAACCGTGAAAGTCAGATTCAAACATTGCTGTTGTTGACATCCAACCTAGTAATATCAGTTTTTGTTCGTTGAACTATGATTTGCGGTCCAAAGCCACTAAAAACTCACACACAACTGTGAGAGGCAGAGTTCGAACCTTGGTTATTGACGTCTAACCTAACAATATCAGCTTTTGACAGTTGAGCTAGAATTTGCGGTCTAAGGCCACTAGAAACTCAATTTGTACTTCTTTAATCATTTTGATTTAGAATGACTTTTTTGCAGTCCAAGGCCACTGCAGTTGTAGTTGATTTCACTGACCCTTCCACAGTATATGACAATGTAAAACAGGTTTGAATTCTAGTTACCAACATACTTATTTTTTTTTACCAAATATGCATATAAATTGAACTAAAAACTCTAAATCAATTCTTTCTTCACTAGGCAACAGCATTTGGCATGAAAAGTGTCATTTACGTACCGCGCATCAAATCAGATACGGTTGCAGCATTGTCTGCATTCTGTGACAAAGCCAGCATGGTGAGCAAGGGGTGAGAGACATATAAGTATAAGAACAAATACTAATCCATAGTCCACATTTGAATAGAAAAGATTGCATCTTAAGAATAAACCTGCTACTAATCCATTTGGTTAAATATAATGTCAGGGTGTTTTGGTTGCTCCAACTCTTTCAATAGGATCAATACTATTGCAGCAAGCTGCAATTTCAGCTTCTTTTCATTACCGCAACGTCGAAATCGTGGAATCCAAGGCTAATGCAAATGTAATACTTTATGTTTTTCTTTACAAATGTGAAATCATATATACTGAAAAAGCCTTGTTGAACAGGATCTTCCATCGGCAGACGCAAACCAAATTGCGAACAATCTCTCTAACCTCGGTCAAATCTATAACAGAGAAGATTCCTCGACAGATGTTTTGGCAAGGGGTCAAGTTTTGGGAGATGGAATTCGTGTGCATAGTTTGGTCTTACCAGGGCTTCCCTCTAGTACAACAGTTCACTTTTCTCGTCTAGGAGAGGTATGTCCTTCCCGAAACCGGGATTTAAGCATGTATTATCTATCCTCTGTAGCACCGACACATCTGTAAAAGAAAAATGTGTGTGTGAATATGTGTAATGTCTGTGTACGAAACCAAGACTGACACTTGTGGATTACATTTATTTTATTTTATTTTTTAAATTATTATCAGTGTCAACGTGTTATTATCGGTGTCGTATTTTCGCTATCAGTGTTTTAAAGGGATTATCTTCTGATTATGAGTTGGATTGCTGCAGATTTACACCATCAAGCATGATATTACAGATGTGCAATGTCTCATGCCAGGGTTGCTGTTAGCCATTAGAAAAGTAGTGCGACTCAAGGTACCTCACCTATTTCAAATCTAAGGTTTAAGCTAGTTCTATATAATATATAATATAATTCTGCTTAATCTGATTCAATTTTTTGTTATTTTTGAAGAACTTGGTATATGGCTTGGAGAAGTTTTTGTGACTATATGTTACTTGTTCATTTTTCTTGCCAAAAACTCTTGGCATGGTTCATCTCAAGGGACTCTCTTGAGTATCCTATTGACAAATATCATAGAGAGAGTTTGTTTGAAAAAATATTGAAAAAAAACCTCAAAGTTTACATTATAGAGAGCCATTTGATTCAATTATTTTGTAAGGACTCTTTTAATTTCTCTTTTTCACAATGAAGAATGTTTTTTATACAGTAACTCTCAGTTTATCTTGCCAATATAAATTTAAGAGTTAAATTTGTTTTGGTCCTTATAAATATCTAAATTTTTATTTTTAGTCTTTATTAAAAATATAATATATTTTAGTTTCTATAAAATTATTATACACGTAATTGTTAAATCAATGTGTATTTTTAAATGATTATTTTGTAGACACCTTTAGAACATTATAACAAATCTCTCGGAAAAAAAAGAATTGAAAATTTGATTTCTAAATAAAAATTTTCATTACTTTTATCATTATCTTTTGAGATTTAAAAAATTCATATTTAATTCTTTTCATTTTAAAAAATTCTAAAATTTAGTAAAGAAATATTTTATAATATTTTAAACATACATGAAAAAAATTATTCAAAAATCTAAAAATTTAAAGATAATTAAACAGTTTTTAAAATTTTCGAAAATAACAAGAATTAAAATTGCATACATAAAAAATTTGTAAGAATTAAAATATATTATTTTTAATAAAGATTAAAAATGAAGATTACGATATTTATAAAGATCAAATACATATTTAATTCTAACTTTAATTATTAGTTGAGTTTTAAATGTAAAAATATTAAAAACTTACGTCAATTAGAAATAAAAAAATGCTAAATTTGTAAGAGAAATTACTATATCTTCACTATCTTCTCAACATATTTTTTTTTATAATTTATAATATCATGAATGTACATTTCAAGAACACGAAGAAAAACAAGAGCGATTGGATGAAATAAAACCTTTGTGAATCGCGATTCTATAAAGATATAGTTCACAAAAAGCAATTAAATGAAAGCCAACTTTTGAAATAGCCTAGTCGTCAAAACGCTTTGATTGGATAGCAATACTACCTACAAAATAAGTAGAAATGATTTTCATATAAAAACACTTTCATATGACAAAGAATAATGACAATCAATAAAATGGATTCAAACAATAAAAATACTAATAATAGGAAAAAGCACAAAAAAATTGTTTGTCAGTTTGAAATCAATATAATATATCGGAGAGAACAACTCCATGATTTATTATAAATCAATTCTATTTTTCCTAGTATTTTTCAAAACTCTCAATATAAAAATAACACAAATCTCTTTTGATTCAATCATGTCTCTTATGTAATTTAAGGAGTTATTTAGGAGTTGATTTTTGGAGGATTTTGAAGGAAGGGGTTTTGAAGGGTAACACCAGTATCTTGAAATGTGTTTGATATTTTTAAAAAATTTAAAAAACAACATACTATATTATCATATAAAATTATATTGTTTTTTAAATATTTTAAAAATGTCAAACACATTTCAAGATATTGATGCAACTCTTTGAAACCTTCTCCTCTAAAATCCTTTAAAAATTAACTCTCAAACGGACCCTAAACGAATATCAATGTGTTTTGTCGTCTCATGATAAACTTGATGATTGGCTAAGTGATTGGCACTTTAATTTCACAATTCATCTTCACACGTTCTTAAGTGATTCTTAACTCTCCAATCATATCATTCAGCCATATCACTTCCTGACCAATTCAACAAGGAAAATATATTCGGCTTTAATAGTAGATAATGCAACCGGTGATTGTTATTTTTTCTTCCAGCTTATAGTTATCACAAACAACATACACACAAAATCTGATAGGAATTTACTAGTGTCCACATTACATGAATAGTCTTAATCTACAAAAGTCTCCAAAGCGTCTTCTTCTTGAGCTAACTTTGTGTACTTTAAATCACTTTTTAGAGAACCATTTAAACACCCCGGCAATCACTTCAAACCTTCCTAATGAACCTGAGTAAGATTTTCCATAAATCAACTTACTATGTTGACTACATATGTTAAATTCGGTCTACTACAAACCATACTGTACATAATATTTTCAACCCCACTTATACAGGGAGTGTTCTTCATTATCTTTTCTCTTCCTCGGTTTTAGGAAATTGCTCAACAAACATCTTTGTATGATTATGCAACAGAGTGTTGATGGTTTTCGCTTCTTACCTTCTAAACCACCCACCACTTTTTTCAAGTAACCATATTGAGATTGGAATAATTCACTCTTCTTGCGTCTTCTCGTTATATCCATACTCACCATTCTTTTAGCTTCACTAATAAATTTCATCTCAAATTCATTGTTCAAGATCTCCTTGTGCTTACTAATCTCTACCTTGCTAAAAATTGCCATCAAAATATCATTAAAATATAGAAAGAAATAGAAAACGACTTTCTCATTCCTCTTCTATATGTATACACAACTGCCATAATTATTTTTTACAAAATCATGTTTAGAAATATATTCATCAAACTGACAATATCGCTGCCTTGGAGTTTGTTTCAAACTATACCAAGACTTATTCAATAAACATACTTTAGCCTTATCTTGTACAAAACCTTTAGGTTGATCCATGTAAGTTGTCTATTTTAGCTCAAGATTATATTGATTTGCAATTGTCATAAGTGTGGAACCTTGTTTTACAGTTGAGATGTGTTTAACAAGGAAATATACTTTTGATGATGACAACTGTAATACGGTGGAAGAACTGACTTGAGTGTTTTGCGTTTTATCGCAATTGTTGCGGATATCAAGAATCGCCACCGACTTTTGATTTATCCAATAAAGGAAAGGGTGAAAAGAACAGGAAAGACATTTTGAGAATTTTCATGAGTTCGGAGGTTAGGTTATGAAAAAGGGAAGGTGTTAGCATCCTTTTCATCTGTAGTTATCTACGGGCTCTTAGTTGCTAGCTCACTTTGAAATGCTTTATTTGAAATGTGTTTGTGGTAGGCTTTGAAAGTATTTTTGAAAAATGCCTTCATTTAGGAGAACTTTGTAATGATTCTGGTCTCTATAAGAATACATACAAAGTATTGACTTTTGAAAATATTTCATTTGAAAGTGTTGGTGTGTTTGAAAGATGTTTTGAAAATAATTGTGAGCAAGCAACTATGAACGTTCTACCTACTCAAAAAGTCTTTGTTCATTTCCTCCTCTTTTAGATATTGGCATCTTACCATTGATTGATAAGAAACCCTATCATTGAATGCGAAGGGACGGGCGTGAGTCATCGTATAGTCATAGAAAGCAACATTGTAGAATACCTTAGCAATTTTTGTAAGGGTCTAAAATCATTTATGAAAGCAACATTTGAAGGGTCATCGAGGGACTATGATCTTGTTTTTTGATTATATTTGCTAAAGCATCCCACGTTTGCGTAACATAACTATTTTTATCTTTAGGCAACAAGTGAGGTCAACCCTAGAGGTGCAAGTGTGTAAAGTGTTTGTTTTCATGCTCTTTGTCTTTGAATTAGGGTTTTCTACTTAATGATTTTATGTCTTGCCATACAAACTCTAATTACTAGCAATTATATTGAAAGCGATAAATTACAGAAATTTAAAGTTCTACGCTATTACATCATTTGGGGGATGGGGATATAATTTACAAATGAGTGAGTAAAAGCAAATAAACCCTATAATTTACTATTACAACCATATTGAATATGAATAAATAATGTACAAGGATAATGAAGGCAATGTGAAAGGAAAAGAAAATTGTTTTTGTTTAAGTTTTTATATAAATAAGTTTTTTAACCTAATTAAACTAAAAAGATGATGGTTAATTAGTCTAAGTTAAATTTAAAAAACTAAACCTAAATTAAGTAAGAAAAAGAAATAAATTAATTAAGAAAACAATTCTTAGATTTTTTATAAAAAGAGTTTAACCTATTTAATTAAAACTAAAATGAATGGAAAAAAATTAATTAATTAAACTCCTAAGTTCTAAATTAATTTAATTAAAATAAACTAAGTCTAATATTACTTTAATTAAGAAAATAAATTTGTTAAAGAAATTTTTTTGGTCTTTTTTGTCTAAAAGAAATAAAATAAAAATATACTAAATATCTAAATATAAAATATAAAATATTTTTGGGATTTTTGGTTAATAAAAATGATAATAATGATAATAATAAAAAAATATAGAAAAAGAAAATAAGATAAAATATAAAATTAAAGTCAGGAGGGTGTAAAAGTAAAAAGGATGGTTTGAGTGAAGAAAACAGTTTTTGTTTGTTAGGCCCAAGTTCATTTTTGTTATAACCAGAAAACAATAATCAAATAAAATAAATTATGGGCTTGCGCATATGTTTAGCAATTTTGGAGGTGACCGGGAGTAAAAATAGACAGGCCCACGGTGAGAAAGCCCAACACGCTAGCCAGCAAAAAGAAACAAGGGAGAATAAGTTGAGAAAAATAATAAAAGGCATTCCCGGGGCTCGAACTCAAGACCCTTAGCAATAAGACCTTACGTGCGCACTCTCTACCACTGGGGTGGCTATACATCTGGTGTTATAAACAAAACCATAAATATATATTACAAAACCAGTTCTAGTTACAAACTTCATCTTCTTCCTCGCGCCAGCCAGAGCTTCTGCAACTCATTCATTTCTCAACCATTCTCAAAAGTATGAACATCAAACTTGTTAGAAATTTCACCACGATTTCAGAAATGTAAATAACATAAACAATGGTTCAAAGATGAGCACGAATTTTAACTAGTACCAATTCTAACCTAATTTTTCAGAAAGTTCAAGCTCAAAATTCTCACCACTCAAACAACATAAATGAATTCTAAGGACATGGTTAGATTCAGGGCTATGATATCTACATTTTATCTTCACAAATAAAAACCTAATAATGCCTATATGAAGAGTTCAAAAGTCAGAAAAATCATCTTTCAAATGGAATTCGTGTTTTGAGCTTCAGCTTGTTTCAAGGTTCT